AAGTAAATGAGGATGATGGAGGAGCTCGATCTGTTACACGGGTCCTCTGTAAACCATGAGGAGGTTTTTGAACCCACAGCGATCAAGAGTACTTTATGTTAACTGTAATAACAGATCGTTTATCTTACTTACTCGATAAAACTGACTTAATGTTAATTCAGTAATATTTCTCACAATATCCAAATCATATAAATAAATACCTTATCTTTAGTGACAAATATATATATACACATAACGTTAAATTTTAGTTTAGTTTCTCCGAGAGAATGAATTGTTTCTAATTCTAAATAAATATTTCCTTTAGGGAATATTCCTGTTTTCGGTTGTTAGATACAAACCTCTGGTGTACGCAGAGACTTACGTTTATCCGTGGTGGGGGGAGCTCTTAGGCTGGGGGATAGCTCTGGCTTCGATGGTATGGATTCCGTCCTATGCTGTTTATTTCTTGTTAGTCACACCAGGTTCTCTGAAGGACGTGAGTAGTTTTTTTAGCCTTTTTAAAAATTAAAGTTTTAAAGATTATTGACAAGTTTCTTCAGATTTAAACATATAAAAACTGTACTAGTTATTGTTAATTAGATCTCGAACTTATACTTAAGTTTTTTGTTTCGTTTTTTTTTTATTTCAGCGACTGATTGCTGGCATAACTCCGAAACTTCAACCTTCTCAGAAATTAACAAAGATACTTGGTCAAGATTTCAAGCTTCCCGAAAGTAAACACACCAAACTGCCAGACTCGGGAGATTATAAGTCGACAACTCAAGAAATACTTTATATTTAATCGTTAAAAAGTCTACGTGATCATATTTCTAACACTAGCGCCTTCTTTGGACACAGAAGGATATAACCAGAACAACATGTCATCAGGTTCCTTGTTCGATTCATCAGAATATATTTTACCAAACATCTCTTGATCAAGAGGGCGTAAAAGTATAAATACATAGAAAATTATATTTTTCAACAGCCAATACCAAGTTACTTTAAGAAAACTGATAACAATTTTTGGTGAAAGCAAAAAAAAAAGTTCTAACAAACCGATGTTATTAAACCCTTAGAAACTGACCAAAATTATCGTTGTTGTTCGTATAATATGAGTGATAGTGAATTAAGAAAGTAACAGTTACAGATATGTATTATAGATGAGACCAGACTTTAATACTTTCATAGGATATAATGTTAAGATGAACTAGAGTACAGATGTCACTTACATATGGGCTGTATGTCAGATGTCGCTTATATATGGGCTGTATGTCAGATATCGCTTATATATGGGCTGTATGTCAGATATCGCTTATATATGGGCTGTATGTCAGATGTCGCTTATATATGGGCTGTATGTCAGATATCGCTTATATATGGGCTGTATGTCAGATATCGCTTATATATGGGCTGTATGTCAGATGTCGTGATATCTACAAATGTGCTAGGATAAAGGGTAAAATGAACTTGGTTGTTGTTCATGGTAAACTAGAAACTGAACATAAACACGGACAACCGGGTAGAACTTGTGTTAGGTTTTATACAGATATGGCCAAAGGTTTTGTATAACCCTATAATTTCAGGATTATTCAAGCAGATGAATTGTAAAATGATATCAAAGATGTCCACCGTGAACCATGGTAGGACTTAGCACGTGTAGTGATGAATTGTAAAATGATATCAAATAGGTCCACCGTAACCATGGTAGGACTTAGCACGTGTAGTGATGAATTGTAAAATGATATCAAAGAGGTCCACCGTGAACCATGGTAGGACTTAGCACGTGTAGTGATGAATTGTAAAATGATATCAAAGAGGTCCACCGTGAACCATGGTAGGACTTAGCACGTGTAGTGATGAATTGTAAAATGATATCAAAGATGTCCACCGTGAACCATGGTAGGACTTAGCACGTGTAGTGCATTACGTGGTTTTCCAAGATTTCTTAAACCCACTTTGGTATGCACGTAATGAGATGCTGGAGAGTAGAGTTACCCTCGAAATTCCTTAATGCAGCCTTTAATAATAACATTACTGAACAGGTTTCATTAGGCTTAAGTTATGAAGGAAAAATAGATAATTCAACTTTATTCTCCTGTAGACACAACTAATTAGGTCAGTGACACATGTTTTTAAATACACGTGGTAAATAAGTACATTGTGAGCGTAGAATAAATGAATTTATAATTTTGGAGGAAGTTACTTCAGATTTTAATCCGAACGTTCTTGTTGCTTGTTTTACCAGAGCTTAAGAACTGTTTTTTTTTCTGTTTAGACATTTAAATCTCTCTCTGATATGAATAAACTCATCACTTGTGTGAAATGAACCATTCTGTAAGGTTCTATAACCCCACTGGAATGAACCATTCTGTAAGGTTTTATAACCCCACGGTCTATGTGAAATGAACCATTCTGTAAGGTTCTATAACCCCACGGTCTATGTGAAATGAACCATTCTGTAAGGTTCTATAACCCCACGGTCTATGAAAAATATATAAATAAATCTTCCTTTTCCGTTTTAACGGTTTCGTTTCTAACAAAAGCTACATCAGTAAATCACCTAAAAGGTATCAATTGTGCGTTCTAATTCATAGGACGTTATTTACATGTTAGACCGTGGGGTTAAAGAACCTTATAGAACTGTTCATTCCACATAGATCGTAGGGTTATAGAACCTTATAAAACGGTTCATTCCAGTGGGGTTATAGAACCTTATAAAACGGTTCATTCCACATAGACAGTGGGGTTATAGAACCTTATAGAACGGTTCATTCCACATATATCGTGGGGTTATAGAACCTTATAGAACGGTTCATTGTTACCTAGACAGATTTATTCTACACGTTACCTAGTCAAATTTATTCTACACGTTACCTAGTAAGATTTATTCTACTCGTTACCTAGTCAGATTTATTCTACACGTTACCTAGTCAGATTTATTCTACACGTTACCTAGTCAGATTTATTCTACACATTACCTAGTCAGATTTATTCTACACATTACCTAGACAGATTTATTCTACACGTTACCTAGACAGATTTATTCTACACATTATCTAACCCAATTTTCAATACACATTCTGAGGATATCATACCGCGTGGAAGAAGATATGTCTATTTTTCGTGGATAATTTCTTAGCTTTGGTTTATTTCTTCGAACGATATATGAGGGACAGCATATCAGTTACTGTTTGTCCAAAAAGAGATAGGAATTTCTACTTTAATCTGGTTACGCTAGTTTCATGGTTTATAGCGAAATACTAATTAATGGTAGGTGTAAAAATATTCCGTCCAAAATGTAAGATTCGTGACTTACTAATGGGTAATTATAATATCATTCTCTGTACGAGCACGCTCCTAACCCGAATCCAACTTTTGCCCGATGGCGTCACCTAGTTTTTGGTTTTAATGACCGCTTCCTATGTAATAAAGTTTTGTGTCTACAGGCCAACAATAGCAAAATATTGGAATTATTCAATAATAAAATTTTCAGACCATGGTTCCCTCTATTGAACATTGCTGGAAACTTTTTTAATTTAGTTATGCGAGCTTCTTTGTTTGTTTGTTTGCAGTGGCTCAGCGTAAGTCTGAAAGCTTATAAAGCTAAAATCTTGGTTTCGATACCAGTGGTGGGCACAACAACAGATAGCCCATTGTGCAATTTGCTCCTAACAATAAACAAACGTTTTTTTTTTTTTTGCTTTGACACAAAGTTACACAATAGACTTTCTGCGCTCTGTTCACCACGGAGAGTCGAACCCTGGAGTTTAGCGTTGTAAGTCACTGGGGGAACAACTTTGTGAGTAAGTAAAACCTATATACGTTATGAAGTATTGAAACTTCAGTGCGATAGTGCCATGAACCTCTAGTAACTGAGCATTTCATATATTTGACGTATTTCATTGTAAGCCTATAAAAAACATTTTAATCATCATTTTTCTTCCAAGTTATTATATATTAGCTGGAGTACTCCTCCCCCACCCCGGGACTGAAGTTATATAAATTCATGATTAATGAAATCTTAGGACATGAAAAGTTGCTTCTCTTTTATGTAATTGTAAAAAAAAACGCCCATAAAAACTGCAAAACACAAAATGTGAAACCGCAAGTTTCCATGAATCTCTGCATGGACCCAACAAACCTTGATACCAATTTTGGTGAAGATTCATCTACAGTGGCGAAGTAGTGGTGAAAGACCCAAAAAACGCCTAAAAATCCCGCAAAACTGAAGATTTGTATGTATCCCTGCATGGACCCAATGAACCTCCATACCAATTTTGGTGAAGATACATCCACACCCTGCGAAGTAGTTACATGGACAGACAACAGACAGCACTATGAACTCGTTCCACTGTCCTATGTTTTGTCTTCCAGTAGGTGAGTTATGGATAGCAATGTGTCAATTAGTCCGTTTTTGTATTTAGGAGTTGTATTTAAGTACAGAACACTAAGTCACTCTGGGTTTTGGCGTTAATGAGTTATTGGAGGTTTCTTTGTTTTTGCGATATTTTCCTACCACGCTGTCACCTCTTTTTTCCCTCGCGGCAGTTTCGTAACCTGAAATCGATCGAGCCGTTTATAACGTGAGACCAGCCTATTTTACCATTTTTAAAGCAATCCTGGAATGAACTGTTCTATATGGTTCTATAACTCCACGGTCTACAAAAAATACCGTTCTATAACCCCACGGTCTATGTGTAATAAACCGTTCTATGAAGTTCTATAACCCCACGATATATGTGGAATGAACCATTCTGTAAGGTTCTATAACCCCACGGTCTATGTGGAATGAACCATTCTGTAAGGTTCTATAACCCCACGGTCTATGTGGAATGAACCATTCTGTAAGGTTCTATAACCCCACGGTCTATGTGGAATGAACCGTTTTATAAGGTTATATAACCCCACGGTCTATGTGGAATGAACCATTCTGTAAGGTTCTATAACCCCACGGTCTATGTGAAATGAACCATTCTGTAAGGTTCTATAACCCCACGATCTATGTGGAATGAACCGTTCTATAAGGTTCTATAACCCCACGGTCTATGTGTAATAAACCATTCTATAAGGTTCTATAACCCCACGGTCTATGTGAAATGAACCATTCTGTAAGGTTCTATAACCCCACGGTCTATGTGAAATGAACCATTCTGTAAGGTTCTATAACCCCACGATCTATGTGGAATGAACCGTTCTATAAGGTTCTATAACCCCACTGTCTATGTGGAATGAACCGTTTTATAAGGTTCTATAACCCTACGATCTATGTGGAATGAACCGTTTTATAAGGTTCTATAACCCCACGGTCTATGTGAAATGAACCATTCTATAAGGTTCTATAACCCCACGGTCTATGTGGAATGAACCGTTCTATGAGGTTCTATAACCCCACGATCTATGTGGGTGTAGAATAAATCTGACTAGGTAATGTGTAGAATAAATCTGACTAGGTAACGTGTAGAATAAAT